GAGGTAGCAATAATAACGTCTTACTTTTGATCCCTCAGAGCAGGACTTGAAATTCTAATTTGATAACAATGATTGACTGAGTTCTGCAGTAACAATTGCATAGCTTTTTTGAAAATTGAAATAGATGAATGTACTCTCAATGATATGCTATTCGGGGAGACATGGAGAATAATTGACCTCATTACGTGTCATGCTCATGAATCATCCAAATTCTGGGCTAATTAAACTGTTTTGAAGTAGATTATTGATGAAATGACGCAATAAGAAATATTGAAGGAAATCAAGAAATGAATTATCCTGCTTCATGAGATGGCGAATGTTTAGCTTTTAATCTTTTGAGAGGGAAGAAATTTGAAATTCAAAGAAAAGAGTAAGGAAAATTCTATCTTGCTGGTAAATTTATCGATATTTGTGTTTCGAATATATTTACTGATTGTCTGGGGAATGGAGAATTATGCTCTTCCCACACTGTTTTTCTGCGAGATTCATGAAGTAATCTTATTCAGATGAAATGAGCTGTAAAAAAAATGAAAAATTTTTAAATCTGTGGTCTAGAGGACTTCGGTTTCATTAAATTTTATCGACATGATTTAAATTGAAATGATCAGTAGACAAAGTTTTCGATTTTTTCTGATAAGTCTTAGGTTTAAATTATAATATATATTTTGTAGTTATGGGTTGAAAGTCTTCAAAAATTAAAATAGGATGGAACGATATTTATGACAAGTGAAATTAGATTATTTGAGAAAGAAAAAGAACAGCATTTTTTCCTTTTTGCACTTAATATATATGGATAAGGATTTCTGCCAATTTTTTATTTATTCTTATTGATTAGCGGTGAACAGACATAGGCTATGTCACAGGAAAGACGGTTAGTTGAATGTTATATTGGTGAAGATGGCTGGATGAACTGTAATTTACGATTAAGGTTGTTTTGTATCTTCTAATCCGTAATCATATTTCGAGGGTGTTTTAGTGGTGATGGTAGTGGAAAAAAAAGGTATTCTCTTTATTTTTAATTAATGATTAAGCTTTTTTAAAGAAAATCTAAGATCATATTATGGAAATTCTGCATCTGCTAAATTTTTATTTTTTAAAAAATTTTATGAAATTCAGAAATTACACTTTGCTTCGACATTTTTGGAATTTTTTTGTACCTTTTATTATGAAATGTATTAAGTTAAATGCGAAAATGAGTTTTTGGATTTTAGATAAATCTCTGAAAGGTTAATTATTAATTATTGAATATTTCTGCATCTCTAACAAAGCATCTATTAACAAATTGGTTCTTCTGCTAATTACGTGCGATTTTCTTAGTTACTTAGTTTAAGCATCTATTTAGATTTTTTTCATGCTATTCAAGCTCTTTCCTGCTTATCCTCTTCACGTTTTTCGGAAATACTCTTCATCTTTACGAAAACCGTAATGGTTTAATGATGGATTTGATGTAGCTTTCCTTCCAATTTTAAATAATGATGTATTCATCCTTGCATTTTTTTAAAGAAATCAAAATTATACAATTCGATATTTCAAAATTTTTGATGGTAATTCACAATGAATTGTACTTAATCAGTGCTAAATAGTTAAGGTGTACTTTAGAAGTACGAGAATGCTGGGTTAGGAAACATCAAAGCATATAGCTTTATGTAACAGATGAACGATTGGAGGCGGAATTCATCGTTGACAATGATCATAATGAATATATTTTATTTTCATAGATGAATTTTGCTATTAAAATACTTGCTTCTAGAAATATACATCATCAAATAAGGCAACAGATGCGCGATATGGATCGAATGGCGCATGGGATGTTAAGTCCGTTTGGTTCCTTGTTCGGCATGCACAATGCGTTTGACAGTATTTTTTTCTTTCTTTTTGTTGGAATATGTTTGAATCTCCTTTGTAAGATAATTTTAGAGCATCTGGTTCCTTCTCTTTTTTGAAGTTACTAAGCTATCAATGAATTTTCAGCATTTCTATTACATCTGCCTTAGGTGGTCGTTGTTTTCACCTCATTTCTTTGAGGTCTTGTTCCATTTTCATTTGAAATAGTTCTTAAGAATTTGTTAGTGAAATGCTGATGATTGAAATTTCAGTCACCGATTTAAAACAGAACTTGTTACAAATAGATTTAACGTTGTCTGCGCAAAATATAATTTGTGTTGAGGTATAATGGGAGAACCTTCGGGAACACGCCAAGCACATGATAACATGGCGCTAATGGATCCATTTGGCTTTAACTTCTACAATGGCATCATGAGACAAATGGTTCTTTTTAAATTCCAATTTTGGTTTGAATTCGAAGAAGATCTCTTTCCTGGAACTCTTTATATATGCTGATTGGCACAAATTTTGTATTTCCCTATTCTATAATATTATCAAATTAAATAAAGGATGCACATTTTGTTGCGCTTCTTTTCCAAGAAAGCTGAAATTACTTTGAATGAAAATTTAGGAGAATGTCCAGGCACAGGCGATGAATGACCCAAATTCACATGTATTTTCTCATTCAACAATGATTACTTTCGATGGACGTAACGGTGGACAACCTCGAGTGATCGAGAAATCAATCCGTAAAACTGGTGATGTGAAGGAAACACGGTATTAATATAGTTCTGATTTGTAGAATAGAATTTGGTAGTAAGTAATAAGATGATAGTAAATTCTTATTCTACCTCAACATTTTGAGAAGTAAGAAATTTTTACTGACGTCCATATAATGAGTGTTTTACCTGAAAGAGACCTAGTGGAAAATGCAGAATTTGTACAAGCGGCTTGATTCTTAGAAAATTTTTATATTTGGGAAGAAATCATATGTAAGCTAAAAAAAGTGATTTAATTTTTAGACATGCGATTCGAACAGGCGAGGATGGTATAGGTGATAAGCTCACTATCGGACACACAATAGGCGATCGAACACATGTGATAGAAAAGAAACGTGATCGTGATGGACGGATCAGAGAACGACAAAGCTTTGTTAATCTTGCACAAGGTATTTTATCTAGTTATCGACCACAACATCAACCATTGACAACCTGGATTGTTATCAAATGATATGATTATTCCCGCTACCACGGACTCGTTTAAAATCATTTCTGGTGATCTTAAAGTATCAAGCTCACATATTCATTAAGTGCTGATGATAAATAGAGTGAGTTGGGAACTAGTTTCTCGGCCTATATTTTAGACGAAGCGGAATCGTTTGACCGTGAATTTGCATCTCGTGCAAGGCGTAATCTGATGGGTGGTAGAAGTGATGGTTACAGAAGTCGAGCAATTGAAAGCAATAGGTATGGTGGTACGACATCAAACAGCCGAAGTCATGTTAGTGATTCTTAGTTGCATTTGAAGTAAAATTTGTCAAATTTTGTCATGTGCTCAAACTTTATCTCATTATAGCTTTTTTTTTTCGGAAAATTTATTTCAAAGAAACGATTGGAAGGAAGAGTTGTTCTGTTGTTGGAAAAAGTGATTATTGAATGTGGCATATTAGAAAAAAAAGTGGAACTAAATGATTTCGGTTCAAAAAATCAAATTAAATGATGGTAGAGTTTTCCAGGCACCACGCATCGGTAGTGGAACTAATGCACCGATTATTACACTTCCGGATGAAGAAGATGATAGCGATGTGATGATTGAGGAGGATTATGGTAGAGGCAAAAGGTAGTTTCTTTTATATGGGTATAGAACTCAAAAATGTTTTTTGGACTGTGTTACCCTGTAGTGGATTCAGAATGATTATTTGTGTAAGTAATATAAAAGCATGTGCTATATATCACATTTCTTGTTTTCAGATCCAATTCTCGTTTGGCATCTGGCTCGGGCGGTCCGGTAATCCGCGAGATGACAGATGATGATGAAGATGGTGGTAACAACCACAAACGGCGAAAGGGTTTTTTTGGACGCCTATTTAAGGAAAATGATGAATGAAGGACAAATTGTGCTATATAAGGAACGCGTGCAGCAAAGAATTCTTTATCTTTCGCGGATTATTTGAAATCTAGAATATCATTTGGTTATATCCTGCGCAGATTTTATAGCAACCTATTTATTCGAATACTAACTTCAAATTTCGGCGCGTTATAACGGTTTTATCTAGGCGCTTTTATCGTGTTTCAAATTTTTTTTTTTGAAATCTGGCATTGAAATACTGACAAATTTGTGAATAAAAGGAGAGAACGGAGATAGATGTTTAAAATTACGGATGGATTTATTTGAAAGTAAGGCGAAGTGATCAGCATATTAAAGTTTATTAATATTGGTAGTGAAAAACAGCAGATTGATCTTCTCTCGCTTTTTGTCCAAATATTATAATTAAATTACGATCAATTCGACGTTTGTTGGTTATATTATGTGTGTCATCCTTACAGCATCTTCTACATCGAATCTCTCCTTTATGTTAATGAAATTGTCTTCATGAAGTTATCATGGAATTTTTTAGAAAAATATCTCCCTCTATTACGACAGCAAGTTTTTTACTTTTCAGAGGAATTCAATATGCATGAATTATGAATATCTTAAATGAGGCAAAAATTTTATATAACTATATTAGTAACTTCTTCATATTTTGCTTGTGTATTGTCAATTTTAAAGCTGCTGTTTATCTACTTTGGTCTATTGATTGGCCAGTTATTCATCTGAAACTGGTGAAACTCTGATGTTTCTTCTTCTTTCCTACAACTTATGCGTACGACCACATCCTCCCATTCATTTCTAACCGTTTCTGTTCTTTTTTTTGATTACACTGCATACACAAATAAAGCATACATTCATGCTCCGCTATATGGCCGCTTTCGATCTTCCGCGATTACATTTTCCTGAATGTTTTCCTACGAAATCGTGCATGAATATAATGAACATACGTTAACTCAAAAAATCGATTTGCCCTTCAATTAAACCACTGCCCCAATTCCAAAATGACGCTACGGAATCATTTTATCAATAAAAAAACACGAAAAAATTATGCGACAAATCAGAAAGATTTCACTCGAATATTTCATTCATTCAACAACAAGCAGACCCTCTATATCGATCAAGAATTGCTTCAAACGGCCGTGAAATTTTCGTTTTTCACATTTTTCGGGATGTTTTCCCGGACCAAGGAACGTCAATGTCCGGAAAGCAGTTCGTAGGATCGTCCTATTTGGGTGGTTTGCTTCATGAGATAATAAATTTTTGACGCACGTTTTACAGCCATCCTGGAAGTTGATTTATCAATGACCTTTAAGAAGATTTATAATTTAATGATTAGTGAGTTAGGTTCCTTTTACAACGGCAATAATTGCCATAAATTTTCAGATGCGGGGCCGTTACTCACCGTATCTAAATCCAATTCAAATAAAGGGCTTAGACATACTTGCATCTCAATAACTAACCAGTTAGCATTCATTGCTAATAAATCATCTTGATTACTTATTTGAAATTTACCCGTTCTTTTATTCCATAGTGTAAACAAACTATATACCTCGTCGCAACACAATAAAGAATATAAGGCTGCTGATGTGGCTGAACTTAGCGCATCCTCTTGCCACAGGGCATTCAGGCATGTTGCAAATGTTGGCTGTAAATTCATTTACATTTACATCATCCAATCGTTGAGAGTGGCTTGTTATGTAGTCTTTCTAATAAATATTATCAGTTGTGTGATCGAAAATGAGAGATAATTGTGGACAATCAATGTTAGTAATATTAGCATTGATAACGGATTGTTTATATTATGGTATGTCGTATTATTTGTTAAGATTTTGATAAAAGCGGGAGTACGATACTAAAAATTACAGGTGATCCGTTATCAGTACAAATATTACTGTCCCTGCTTGGTCATATCTCATTAATTCGCTGATAAAGACATTATTGTTTTCCATTCGATGAAGTTTTCACTTGGTGAAATATGAAGCAACTATACTGTTGAACATAAAAGTAGGAATTCTTTCTAATCGACAGGTAGGATGAATTCTCTTTTTTTGAACATTTCAATTAACTGTGATTTATTGGACGAATGATGAAATTCATATTTATCCATTTACTTACATCACAGATAATGCGATAATATTTTAAATTATTTATCCGATAAAAAGTATTTATTTTACCATAAATCTTCTTATTAGAGATCTAAAAATATATGAATATACAAGCGAGAAAAAACATACTTCAATAACAAGAGAAAAGACTTTCATTGTCGTATCATTTCTTGTATGTTTGGCAAAATATGTACCCAAATGAGCTATTGCAAGTGCCGAATTAATTGAAATCTGAAATTATATTTTATAAAACAAAAACAAAACGCGCAATAAAAAAATTTAACGATAATTCGGATGCCATATTGTATTGATATTTTTAATCTTATGAAATTAAAATAAGTAAACGAAAGAAGCAGTAATGAGAAGAACCTCTTTTTCGAAACGGTCTTTCAGATTACATAATAAATCATCTTTCTCATTATCTAATTGTAGACCATTTTTGAGATATTCCACAAATATCGTCAGATTTTCCCGTGAGAATTTTACCATACATTCGGGGGCCATTTCAGTTGAACATCTGAGAAAACGATAAAAGCTGAAATTAACATAAGTTTATCAACATTTGCTAAATTACTAGTATTATACGCTAAGATATAAAAATTATATATTTCATCATTTTATTATTTTGGTTATGCACTTAGAAATATGCGCAAATTAAAATTAATAGCCAAATGAAATTTCTTTTTTTATTAGGACAAATTCCTTTTTTGTGACATTTAACTCTAACTAAAATTAATAATTTTAGTATAAAATCGATTAATAGCTTAATTTAAAAATAATTAACAGGTAGGATTTCTTTTTTGAATTTTTCCTTTCAATTAATCGAAATTTATCAAACGAATGATGAAATTCACACGAAAAATTTGCCTTTTACGTAATAAAGGTATTTTGAAGAGTTCAGGTTGCATCACACGTATTATCATATTCCATGCTGCTAGAACAATGCGTGAACGATTTTCGACAAATTCTATCTTACCTGAAAAAAAAGTATTATGATATTATCTATGATAACTGTCCTATTATAATTTTATTCTACTATAGAATATCATTTTCTTTCTCGTGTTAATATGAGCATGTTATGCTTTTAAGACAAAGTTGCAACAGTTACTTCTTTTGAATAATATACAAATTTTAAGCTGTACACAATAAATTCTAACGACCAGCAAAAAATCATTTTTTAATTTCCTAAATTTCAATTAAAATTTTGGACAACAAAATTAAAGAAAATGACGAACCAGTTGACAAATTGACTGGTTGACTTCTTTTATCCAAAGTGTTTGTAAGGATTTCAAACAAAAATACCAACTCTGATGTTTTGTCCTTATCATCTAAATTCTTGTAGCGTTCTTTCTGATGTTTTTCGTAAGTTTGAATAACAGACAACAGTACCTTTAAAATTCTCATTTTATTCATTCAAATTTATTTGAATGTACACCTTATGAAATGCCATTCATTATGCTATTCATTTCATAAATGTATGAAAAGGAAATTTCTTCATTTGTTTAGTCATTCAAAATATCGAAAGAATATATAATCGCCTACCTAATAACATTTAATTTTGATTTTTCAACTATCATTCTTCCAATTATCATAAGAAATCAGATACAGTGAATAAATGGAATAGAGTAAAATTGGAATATGCCAGAAGCAGAATAATTTGGAATTGGAATAGATTAATAGGTAATGAAATTTATTACCTCATAAATGAATACCATATCCTGATGATTATCACAATACACATATAATCGTTTCGTTAAGCAATCAAAAAATTGAAGAACAGCACTGATAATAATTGCTGTATTTTTGTACACTGATAATAGTGGGACAGAATATTTTAAAACTGGTTTTAGATATGCTGAAAGAATCGTAATCTATAAAGATCAATCATAATTAATCATAACTTTGATGATTTCATCACTGATTGTCTGAAGTCGACTTTTCAAATGAATAACAATTTGTGCATGCATAATCATAATTATTCATAATTTTTAATTATTCCATTAATTACTGTTCAAAAATTTAAGTTTTTCAAATGAAAAATCTTTGATAATAATTTTCAATGATTGCGTAAAATTAACCGAATAAGAATTCTGCGAAACATTTTTGAGTGCCATGAGTTACAGCACAAAAACAATCCAACAAATCGTCAAATTTCTCATCTGTTTCTAACGAATTCTCACACATTGATATGAATTTAGTTCTTATAGGTATTAAAATCTATAAGAATAGGAAAAAAACAATTAAACAAGTAATTATAAAATAAATATAAATAAACAATTCAAGTATTCCGATACTTATCCAACTAAGAAAAAACAGTAATTTCAATTAATCATAAATATTGTATTCAAAACTATTATCAAATTTGTTTTGTTAAACATCTTTATAGAAATATCGATTGATTATTATTTAAACCAACCATTTCATATAAAGTTTTCTGTTGCGCTTCATCATCAATTATACTGCCAATTTGTAATAACACTTTTAGCAGAGAAGAACGAACTAATATTTGGTCAGTTTTGATCGCTGATAAATATGAGAATAAAAAAGTACTCTTTGATGTTTCACAATATAATGCTTGTGCCAAAGCAGCAAGTAATTCAACAGCATCCATACATGTCCTATAATTTTAATTATTTAATATAATTATATTATCACATTATCTATGCTATTTCATCTCTACTTTATTTTAATTTCTCCTTTTTAACTTGTTAATTATGATATTCATGAATAAAATGTACAACGATTACGATAGTGATATAACATAAAATATTCATGATAATTTAATTGTCAAAGGAATTCATTAAATTTGAATAAATATTGTATAACATCAAAGGAAAGAAAGTATGAGAAAGAAACTTAATTTGCACTCTTAATTTGATAAATAATACCAATATTAAAACTTTTTTTTTGTCAAATATTTCAAGCAATATGTTAAATCATTTTGTCGTAAAGTATTTCTTATCCGATAACTAATATTCTGCTATTATACGTTGAATATATCGGACATTGTTAGCATATAAAATAATCCTTATCATAATTATCGTTGTTAAATTATTATAAATTATAATTATATGAGGAAATACTAACTTTCTCTCATTCGGCATAATATCAAAAATTCGAAATGCTTTTTGCAAAGCAAAATCAACTAATATTTGGGTAATATTTTCTGATACTTCAGCTAATTGACTTTTTTTGTTCGATTTTTGAATATGCAATCCAATCGCTGAAAGTAATCGTTTCGTGCACCACAACGATGTACCACATAATTCCACATTTATCGCTGTTATTCCATGATCTTTTAGTAGTATATCCTCAATAGAACACCAAGCAAATACAGTACCAATAATTCTGGAATTAGAATACTATCAAAATCATTAATTGATTAATTAATGATTTTAGAATAATTAATATAAGAATTTTACAAATTAAATGAATCACAAAAAGTTTTTTATTACTTTACCTTACCCTTGAATATATATTTTACTTATATAAAATTTGTATATTATCATCAGTCAAGTCTTAACAAAACTATTTGATGGATTACGTTAACATTAATTATAACATTAAGATTTTGTAACGTCTTAGAAAATAGCATTTTACTATATTCCGGAATTGTTATTCATACTACGAACTTCATCAGAAGGTCGACTTCTGATGGATCGGTTAATAATTGAGGTGTATTGATGCATGCTTCCATATATGATGCATATTTATCGATATCTATCGATTTTTTTTCCACCATATCTTCATAATGAACTAATAATTTGCTTTGCCATACATAATTACGATCTTCATCTTCCTCAACTAATACATGACCTGAAAGAAATGTAATTGATTACTCATTTACAGAATATTTTTATTAAATAATTTCGAGAGAGAAATTCAACATTACATTTGATTTTAAATTGAATTTTTCATTTTTATATAAATTTAATTTTATTTCAAATTAATACTAAAATGAAAAATAATATTTAATTATTATGAATAAATATACCAATAATAAGTATAATCCAATGCATATTTTCTCGAAAATCTTCTAAATCTTCCATACTCATTCCTGTTTCCAACGTTGACAAAAATTCTTCCAATGTTTCAGCAAGTATTCTACAATAATCTGTTATCTCTTAAATTTTGATTATATTTATAAACAAAGAAAAGAAAATATTATTTACAAAATTAAATGAAAAGATTTGATAAAAAGTTTTGAAATAAATTAATTAGAGGAAATATTAATAAACATACGTATATACTTTTGGTAGCATTTCATCTAAAAAATAAGATGAAAACGATCCAATTTTCATTAATATTTCTTTGAAAATTTCACGATCGGGCAAAGGTGATGATATCTAAAAAATAATTAATTATAATTTTAATATTTTAACATAAATATTTGACAGAGAATGGTGAAGATAAAAAATCTTTTCACGATTAATGCATGCAATAATAACATAATCAATAACGATACAATTTGCAAATTATACTACTATATTGTAATAAAAAAAGATTACTGTACATGTAATTATGAATTAAAAACACATAATCAATTAAAAATTCAAAAATAAATAAATGAATAACATTAATTAAATATATAAAATAAATCTGAGATAATTACTCGAAATTAATAAGCGAAAAGAAAATGAATAATGCCAACCTCTTCGCGATCACCAAATGGAGTAGAAAATACCATTTGCATAAATGATGAAATCATTACGATTGTTATTTGCCCAAAATCAATCGCATAATTCATCACTTCTACAATAAATTCTGAATTTTGCAAAACAATTAGCCATCCTTTGAAAAGATATTGTATGGCACTAATATAGGCCCATTTTAAGGTTGGGCCACGTTTTCTTATTGGAAGGTTTTTTACTTCTTTTTCTTCTTTCTCCTCACCATCCTCATTTTCATTTTTTTCACCCTGCAACAATGAAAAAAAATAGTTGAAAGTGATGGGAAGAAAAAATTGCTAGATTTAGATTGATTAAATGATAAACAAATTAATCCATATTTTATTGTTTATTGTTTAATTGATTAATACCATTAATGTTTTGTTGCTAATTGATTAAATTAAGAATTGTAAACAGTATATAAAACTGATAAAGCATAACAGATTATTTGTATATAAATGGTTTAAATATAATTAATGCCAAATATTTAGCATTAAATTTTTAAATAATAAATAGATAACGTATGTATTGCGTAACGCATTTCACGTACGCTAATAATAATATTTTAAGCTTTGTAATGATTTAGCAAATTTTAATATTTTCATAATATATTTCTATTCGCATACAATAATATAAATGTAAAATTTGAGATAAAAAGAAATCACACAATTACCGCATATGATAATTTTAGTGTGAAAGATTCGGTCAATAACGGAATGAATGATAAAAATGTGGCAAATGATGCTTCAGCTCGTGCAAGTGAATGAATTGGATGATTTGCTAATACATTAGCAATCATCAAGCAATAAGTATATATATCCGGCATTAATGCTTGACTGAAACTTATGATATATTTTAAACTTTTCGGATTATAATTAATCAATTTATACCTTATCCTAAAATTAATTACATCAGTTTTCTTACAAAATCAGTTTTCTTCTGATCATATAATAAAGTTGAATTATTTATCGTTAGAAATGATATAAATAGGTTAACAATCCGGATGCTACTAATAACACAAAACCGATTAAATTATATTACACAATCGTTAATCTAAAAATTAATATGAAGTGATCATGTAAATGAAAAGAAAATTACGTGTTGAATGACCAGACGAAAAGTGCAATTAGGTCTGATGTATATCTATTGTATGCTGTAGTATAAGGAATATCCGGAATAGATACTGTTTTAGAGTCCGGATTGGACTGTGAATCAGGTAGAACAACCCTACTCATTGACATCAATTGAGTTATACAACTTGCTATAAGCGCCGAAAGGGTATTATTATTATTACGAAGGAATCTGTGCAACTGAAAAAAATTTATAATCAATTCATGCAATTTTAAAATTGCCGCAATTTTATTTTCATATAAGATTCATTTAAAGAAGGGAAACGGTAATGAAATGTTGCAATGAAATATGATGATTACAGTGTAATAATTAAAGTGCAAAAGTTAATTAAAATATTTTTAGCGGCTAATAAATGAATCATAAACATACTGTATGCTGCGAGTTATCTATAAGTAATAACATTATGTAATATTATGAAGTCAGTTCTTATAATTTCAAAATTGTTGAAAATTTTTTTAACAATGATAAATTGCTGTCAATACAATTAATTCGTGAAATTTAAACAAATTGATAGGAATATCTGCTAACATTTTCTTTCTTTCAAAGTTCCAAATACTATTTTATTGTAAGCTTTCTAAATTGTTTTGAATCGATACTGTCATTTTTAATAATTCAATAATTTATATATGCGTTTTATCATCTTTTCCAAATAAACAAAATAAATTAACAAACACTGAAGAAAAGTTGCAAGAATTCCTTCCAGAGGAATATCGTTCTCCATGTGCTCGGTGGTCCTTCTACAGACATATCGCTTTTTCTTGGACAATGATGAATTCCATAATTTCGTGCAAAAATAATATTTGATATCCGCAGGAAATGTTCGATCATACTTAACTGAAATTATCACCAAATATAAAGATTTGAAAAGAAGATGGATGAAAGCAATTTTATGTAAAGATTAAATATTATAAAAAATGAGTAGTGACCAGAAAATAATCGGAAGTGACCAAAAGATAAATGAATGAATAATTTGACCTACAAATATTAATTTAAATGCTAACTTCTAGATTTTTAATATAAACCTCATTTAAGGTATTCTTCTCGAAATAATTAAATAAATTGGTTAGGAAAAACTATTGATTTCGAACTTTTACTAAAAACCATACATGAGAAGGTTCCCTGAAGTTGTTAACAAGGATGCAATATCGAGGAACAATATGCATACATTTGCAAAAAATTCGTTGCAAACCATCGTTCTGAAAAAATTTAAAACATTTATAATTTTAATTCAAATTAATTAGCAATATTTACTTTATTCATCCATTTATCTATATGATTTATTACTAAATTTATCAATTTCTATTTATTATATATACCAATTTCACCCCAATTCGAAATGAAATACCTAATATATTATTATATATTAAGTGTTTCAAATTATTCATATATTTATATTTCGCACATTTGGTACAATATGTTAAAGTATTACTTAATGTGTCATTTCGATAATAATTAAATTATTTACTTAAATAAGGAAATTATATTAACCAATAATTACTATCGACTGGCGATACCATTGTGCTAAAATCGTTTTTCGTCATTAAGATTTCAACTTTCTAATCATTTGTCATGACAAAAACATTGAGCTCATTTATCTCTGTAGTTTTAGAAATTTTAAAACTTATAAAATCTTTCGTAAATAGCAAAATGCCGTACCTCAAAAACAAGCTTTGCTCTGTACTGAAAATCATAAGGGATGCTAAGATTGGGTATTCTCCAATATGTATCAAATTCATTCAACATATTAAGAAAGAATTCATACATTATGTGATGCTAAAAATAATTTTCTCTTACAGTAAGTTGGAAAAAATAAAGCCTAAACAAGTCAAATATTAGTAAAATGCCTGTTCGGTTTCCTACCAATGCATAATTTATAGAAAATTATGCCTTTATTTTTTAAACTTTGAAGTCAAACTCAATTAATTAGGCTAGAAACTTTAACTTAACCAATTAGATCAATTAATTTAGCTATTATCGAATCAAAAAATGATTGCATCATGCTAATTTCATGAGCATTATCAAATGGTACAAGCATATATTTTAGAGATAAAAAGTGGTAATCTTTATATACCACTAATTTATGCTACTAATTAATTCAGTGAACCATATCACCGCTGTTAATAGTTTAATAATCGATTAGTTAATCTGTCAATTAATGAAAAATGAAACTTCGACAGTTCCTTTTTTTATTTCCTTTTATGAAATAAAAAAGTTGAGGAAAATAATTACAAATTCCACATTTTCGTCTATTAACATGACATAAAATTTCGTTGCCAATAAATCGAAATTACATGCGTGACCATCAAAAACAGATCGCTTCATTAATTTGGCGCATGCTTTTAGCATTTCTTTCCGGACACCAGCCGTTTTTCTATTAAGAATGAAATATATATATATATATTGCTTTCTGTTTAAGCAAACAATTAATATTATTATTCATCATTAGTTATTAAAAAATTGCCACAAATTAATTAATCGATCAGTTAATCAACCAAATATTTAAACAAGCATTAGTTATGATAGAAATTACGATAACTATTGAAAAATTCAATAAAATGCTATGAAATTTTAAATTTAATACTTCAAATTTTCAGCTTAATTTTAATGTTAACATTTTCTCCAATTACTGAATTGGACCCGCAGAATTGCTAAGTTTTTGAAAAACTTCAAATGAAATAATTTTAATGTTTTTAATCATAGCAGAAGATAATTAGCCTAGTAATATTTGATTACTTTTTTTATTTTATGGTAGTGAAATTATTCAACACCTGTATTTCAACAAAGCATATCCAAGGAAATAATCAAAATAATCTTTCTTTATTGAAGCCTCTAAAACTGTCCATTTTTTGAGAATGATTAAAATAGCATTTTCAACCATCGTACATGTAATAAAGTCATTAGAAGTTCCATCTGAAAAAGAATAAAAAGAAGAGAATTGTAATTTCTTTTAAGGTTTACATTTTAAAATTAACTATGAAAAAAATTCGATAAAATCTTTCACTAATCAATTTTAAATTTTAAAAGTATTTAAATAATCAATTAAATGAAATGAACTTTTACATTTTGCAAATGGAAAGATTATCATTTTATTTATTTTATCTGTTTAGCAATCAAAATTTCAATATTTCATCAAAGTATTTTAAGAAGAGTTATAATAAAAAAAATGAAAAATATTATTAACCGATAACTGTGCGACACTGATCCAAAGTTATTCGTTCATTTAAATTACGAAGGTATAATACTGCAGCAACTTGTGAAGGTGATGGAGTTCCCGATATTGTCTAAAAATTCATTTCAATTACTACAATTTACCTTTTAATAACACTATCTGAACAGATATTCAAACTTCGTTAAACTTAATTTTATTTTTTCCGACTTTTCTAAATTTCAATTTTTTCTTTGTTTGAGTAAAATTATCCTTTTTTTCTACTATTTCAAAAAAGCTATTACTTTAACTTATCAACTTGCTCAATGTATAATGTAATTAGATGATTTAAATCTAAGCTAAGCTTTATTGCTTCGTTTAAATATAACATGAAATGAAGTTCGAGTTTGATTGTGTGTATATATAGGGTTAACTAATTAATTAATTGATTAATTATTATATGAGATATGTAAATAGTCAAACCACAACAATTTCAGCCATTCTATCTATTCTCTCAATATGGTTCTCATCGAAATTATCCTTAACAGTTGTCGCTTGTTTTTTCTTTTTTGTATTCGGCATATTTAAATTCTGACAATGTTAAAATAAAACAATACGCATTTGCTTGACGAAACGAATGAAATGTAGTGGCGAAATGGACAGAGTAGAAATTTGATTCCCGACAAAATGGATCGGATAATTTTACTGGAAAATTGATTGAACCGTTTGTCGGGTAAATGATCTTTACAGAATGAAGCAATAATTTATTGTTATTTACCGCTTATTACATATCTCAATTATAGATCATAATAATTGATACGATTTAGCTCAAATGTAATTTGATCCGATGATACTTTCGCCCAAATTTATGTGAGAAAATTTGATCTAAAGAAATTTTTGCTCAACTTTATTCGAGAATATTTGATCAGATTCTCAGATCAGTTATAATGCAGTTTAAAATATTCATCTAAATGATGGAAGATGAATAACAACAACCGAGAGACTGTACATGGAAACATACACACAATTGTAATACTATATTTTAAAACAGAGAAACCACCATCCAAATTCAACAAACTACTTTTCTCACGTAAATACTATTATCGAATTCAGCAAAAAGAAGGAAAAGTGACAGTTAGAAATGAGCTTCTAAACTTTCTGAAGAAAAAAGAATGGAATGAATATTTGCTGAATATTATAGTGCAATTAAATAAATTAATTTTAGAAAAATTGAAAATTTTTCCCGATTATGTGTTAAGATTCTTGTGAAATTGATAAATAGATATCCGATACATTTATCGAATATCATAAATGGATATAAAAGCATAAATGGATATAAAAGTATGTCAATTTCATTGATCGGTTCCAACTGTTTCGGACTTTGTATG